GGGCTTCTCTTTGGTGGGAGACTTCTGTTAGCTCTGGATGGTTCAGTGAGGCAGAGAGTAAGGCTACACAGCAACAGTAAATCTTTCGTCCTGAGGGATTCTTTCAGGGTCTCTGGGCTGTGAGATTAGTTTCTGGGAGTGAACTCTTGTTTCTAGCCAGGACTGAGAGAATGCTTGCCCAGCCCAGCCGTCCTTGGCTCAGTCTATATCCCACACCTCAAGAAAAGGCTTTCTGGCCAGACATGGTGACTTATGCCTATAATCCCAGCACTTTGAGAGGCTGAGATGGGTGGAACATCTGAGATCAGGAATTTGAGACCAGGCTGGCCCATGTGGCGAAACCCCATCTCTACTGAAAATACAAAAATTAGCCGGGTGTGGTGGCAGGAGCCTGTAATCCCAGCTACGCGGGAGGCTGACACAGGAAGAATCACTTGAACCTCGGAGGTGAAGGTTACCATGAGCCAAGACCACGCCACTGCACTCCAGCCTGGGTGACAAAGTAAGACTCCACCTCAAAAAAAAAAAAAAAAAGGTTTTATTTTTCTTTTTTGAATCTGCTTCTCCCCAGTAGCTGGTTCCCTGCTTGGCTCAAAGGAGGACTACAGCCAGATGGGGTGTGGGCAGAGGCGTATGTGTGTCTGTGCCTTAGGGGAAAGGGAGTGTACTGAGGGGCTCCCTCACTAAAAGACTAAAAGGTCCCAGCCATTAACCTACTGCATCTAAAAGGCAGGAGGGGCAGCAGGTTCAAGACCTGGAGGGACATTGGGTTCCAGCCACCTGCAACTGGCTCCCTGTCTCATGGCCTTTGAAACCCCATCCCATTTGTGGTCTCTTTGGGTGATTTCACCGTGTGGTGGCGGGGGCAGGGGGAGGGCTTCTCGTTTAGCCACTTGGCAAATGTGCCCTGGACATTTATGGTGGCCAGGCTCCATCTGTATTGGGCAGTGGGACACAGGACAGCAAGAACCGCAGCCCCAACCACACCCAGCTCTCAGGAGGCCTCAAGGACAGGGAGAGGAGCTGGGGAAGACAGGGCAAGAGCCCACAGAACTTGGGCATGAAATGCAAAGATGGAGTGAATGGGGAGTAAGGATGGCCAGGTGTCCTGGGGGAATCCTCCCTGCTGTGGGAGTCAAAAGGCAGTGAAAGGTCACCTTTTCCAGGGAAGGGAGCTTCCTAGGAGAGGTCACATTTGAACAGGGCCTTGAACCATGGGCAGTATTTGGACACAGAGTTTGGGATGCAAGAAGCATTGTTAGGAGAGAAATAATGTGAGCAAAAGCCTGAGGGCGTAATCAGTTATTCACATCTGCTCAGCCCTTGGTTCTGTTGAAGGTGATGGCAGGTCCTGGGCCACATAGTGTTGGTGGATATGGCAGAGATCGTGTTCCTCAAACACATGCAGGAACAAAGCTGGCCATTGTAAGTGGCCTTCCAGCAAGTGCCAATAGTAACCACTTGGAGCGTGCTAGCTGTGTTTACTCTTCACTGGGGTTTCCAGGCAGCCTTTCTGGTGGCCAGGGCCAGGCTAAGCATCCTGCTTCTGTGTCCCTCCAGGCATCCTGGAGCTAGAAGCACCTCTCTCCTCCACCAGTGGGTGCTCCTGAGCGTCAGGGCTCAGTTCGTTGCTGAAGCTGCTTCTCCCCAGCAGCTGGTTCCCTGCTTGGCTCAAAGGATGACTCAGCAAGTGTTTGTTGTGTGACTGTCAGATATAAGGAAGGTATAGCCGGTCTGTCTGCCCTTTCCTTTTCAAGAAGCAGGGCCAAATTGCCTCCAAATAACCAAAAAATCACCAAAACCCCACCCTGCAAGTCAGCATGCCTTATCCCTTTTATAGACAAGGACAGCCATACCTATACTACAGAAATCCGAGCATCATAGAGAGTAGGTGGCATGTTCTATGCGGAGTATGGGAGAGACTAAGCTCATGACCTTCCCCACCAATTCCAGCCTTGGCTCCAGTCTGGCATGGGCAGAATGATTGTACGAAGAGGTGCAGGGCCCCTGAGGTGGGCCAGTGTGTCTGGGCTCAGGGAGCCACAGAGGTCTCTGGCTCAAGCTGAGCCTGTGTGTCCATGTTTCATCTTCCCAGGCCTTCTTCCATGGAGAAGCCCCTCACGGTCCTGCGAGTGAGCCTGTACCACCCCACGCTGGGCCCATCTGCCTTTGCCAATGTCCCATCACGGCTGCAGCATGACACCAGCCCTCTGCTGCTTGGACGGGGGCGGGACACCCACCTCCAGCTGCAGCTCTCCCACCTCTCCCGCCGTCATCCGTCCCTGGAGCCCCACCTGTAGAAAGGCAGTGCTCTTCTGGCCTTCTGCCTCAAGACCCTGAGCCGCAAGAGCTGTGTGTGGGTAAACAGTCTGACGCTGAGGTACCTAGAGCAGATCCCCCTCAGCACCGTCAACAGAGTCTCCTTCTCAGGCATCCAGATGCTGCTTCGCGTAGAAGAAGGCACATCCCTGGAGGCCTTTGTCTGCTATTTCCATGTCAGCTCTTCACCCCTGATTTACAGACCTGAGGCTGAGGAAACTGACGAGTGGGAAGACATCTCCCAGGAGCAGCTTCCCCCTGGTTCAGGGCAGCAGACTCCAGGTTGCCTGGTGTTTCTCCACCTCCCTTCCCAGACTTGGGACAGCCCTCTCCATCCAAGCCCTGGAGGAGGAACAGAAATACAACTCCAGAGGGAACCCCCAGATGGTGCACTCTGCTAGCCTGCCACTAGAGCAAGCCTCTGCTAGATGAAACAGGGCTTGAAATATTTGAGCTGCATCATGCAAGGTTGACATGCAAAACCCACTGGCTGCCTTGCTCATAATGAACCAAGTCTGCAAACACAGAATAAACAGCCCGGGGTGGAGAAGCACCCTCTGTGGCCAGAGCTGTGCAAGGTAATGGGAACTTCATATATTTTTAGAGGCCCTGAGGGGCTCTGGGGAGCCTCTCTCAGCATTTCCACACATTTCCCCCTCTTGTCTGACTAGGAGTTACTTTATGTTGTTCATTTTGCGTGCTGCTTAAGAGCAGGAGTTTGAGGTTGCACCAGGAATGCGTGGACACATGTAACAATTACATTTGTGGTAGCTTGGGGTTACCTTCAGCTTTCAAATACCCACAGGCACTTGGGGCTTAGGAAAGCCTGAGTTTAATAAACTGCAAGTATTTCATTAAGCTGGCACACCCAATAGGATTCCCTGATCCCCAGATGGGCCACATGCATGCCATGTTGTCATGCAGAGGTGGGAGTGGAAAATACAGACGAGGTGTAAGAGGAAATTGGAAAGGTGGGACTCACATTTCTGGAAAGGCTGGAGGCAGGGCTCAGGGTTTCCTGAGGATGGGAGCTGGGAGCTGGGCCTGCCTGGAAATTCATTGTCCCCATCATCATCCTCATCCTCACACTCCCCATTCTCTGTCACTCCTGCATCAAAGCCTTGGCTGACCTCAGGACAAAGATCTTCAGGGAATGAGGGGTTGGGGTGGGTGTTTGTGTAAGAATTCAGCCCACCAGTTATTTCGCTCAGCGTGGGTCACACACCAACAGGCATGGGGTGGTCCTTCCAAATAAGAGACTTGTGAGGAGCCAGGCATGCCAAGGGTGGGAGGATTTTCTCAGTGAACAAGGGGAGCAGCCACTTGCCACACCATGCTGAGAAGCGGAGAGCATGGTTTAGAAACAACGTTTACCAGTGTGATGCAGGGAGGGATCTGTGTGGTCACCATGATCCCAGACCCCACTCTCCAGGGAATCCGAGGCACCGAGGGCACGGCCCTTTTCCCCTGGCTGACTCAAATCCCCGGGTCTGCAGCTGCCAACAATTTGTTTTCTGCCCAAGAGGTAGATCGTTTTGCACCCAGCACAAGCTACAAGGAGGTCCAACTTCACTCACAGGCCCTGAGCATCTTCTCCATGAAGGAAACAGCAGGGGGCAAGACCCAGGCTTGACCTGGTTTGGGAAGCTTCCTCCCTTATAGGGACGAAGCAAAAACACTCAGACCACAGCCACAAGGCAGGGAGAGCGGGCTGCCAGGAAGGGGCTGTCCGATGCTGTGAATGACCCCAAAGCAGTTCCTCATGCGTTCAGCAACCCTTCACCAAGCACCCACCTTGTGCCAGATGTGTGCAGAGCCACAGAACAGAACCAGAAGTGAATAAGGCAAACTTCCTCAGGGAGTTTACGCTGTGCTCAGGAAGGTCAGCGTTCAGGAGTGACTTACTTATTCGATCGCCACTATGATTAGTGCTGTAGTCATTGTATTTTTCTCTCTCCTCCAGCTGGTCTCACATTCTCTTAAGTGGCCTTGCCTGTTGAGTGCCCGCCATGTGCTTGGCACTCTGCTAGGTGCTATTCGTATTGCCCGTTTAAGGCTCATAACATCCCAGACAGACAATGGTATTAGCCACACTTTACAGATCAGGAAACTTGGCAAGGTTTCATATCTTGCCCAACATCACACCATCAGTAGCTGTGTGCTTTGGGCAAGTGACTTAGTCTGCTTTTGCCTCTATTTCTCCCTCTGGAAAATGGGTAAGATAATGGTACCACCTGCTAGAGTTATGAGGATCTTAGGACGTGGTACCTGTAAAGCACTCAGTCGGTGCCCAGCACACACTTAATAAAGGTTAACTACTATCATGAGACCTGAGAGAGGAGGGCTCACCATCCACATGGAGCTAAAGAAGACTCACAACCCAGTAAGCTGGCTTCAGAACCCAAGGGCTTACCTATGCTCCATGATTCCTCAACTAGGGATTTAGTCGTAGCCACGGACCCAGTGGGCAACGGGGATGGGATTTTAACCTGTTCCTCGCATCAGAAGGTCCAATAGGCAGGGTTAGTGTAGCGGGAGATGCCCTGTTAGGGCCGGCAAGGAGAAGCCACTATACTTTGGTCTGATATAGTTCGCTATCTTCCAACAGTCTTTGTATTTCACATACGGATTAAAAAAGCAGCAGTGATCTGTCACAGACCAAAATGGTCCCCCTGCCAACTATGCATTACAGAGCAGCCGTCCACATACAGAACCTGAGAAGCCATGGCCTGGAGAATGCACGTGAACACCAAAGGCTGGAGAGAGGAGCTGGTGGGGAAACCCCAGAGTCCCCAGGGTGCTGTTACCTGGCTCCCCCACAGAACCCTGGGAACCAGCTGCTGCTCCTGAGCGCCCCACTCCAGGGCCTCAGTGAGCAACTCTTCCCTCCAGTGGGGAGTAAACCCTTCCCAGCTAGGGTCCTGCGAGAGGGAGCAGTTCACTTCTTCTGCAGGGGACTCTACAACTCAGACCTTTGGGGTGAAGCATCTGTGAGGCCCTCAGGGACTCAGGATGAGCTGCACAGCAGCTGAAGGAAGACAGCCAGACCAGGGTGGGAGCGAGCCAGGAAACATCTGGCTTGCTGTTTCAGACTCCACCAGCTCACAGTTCACACAAGCTCCCCGGGACACTCACACCTTGCCCTGTACCAAGTTTTTAAGACAGTTAAGCTCTGTCCATCTGAGACTTCACTTCTTTTGAGTAGAAAATCACTGAAATCATCAGATCCATGGCACCCACCCTCACTCTCTCCTAACAGCTGGAACTGTCAGGCTGGCTTCAGGTCCTGGTCTTCACACTTAATATCACTCTCCTTCACTTGCTCAGACAGCCAGAGCAGGTGGGTGAGTTCCTCCCAACAATCTTCACTGCATTCTCTCAGCTCCCACCACAGGGCAGCTCATATGCCTGAGTGAACATGCATGCATGTGCACACGCATACACACATGCACACACACAGGTATGCACAGACATACACCAAACATGAACATACAGAGCCCATGAACACTGCTCCAAACTAGGACCCTCTGGTCAGACTGCTGCCTGGGTTAGAATTCTTCACTCCCGCCCCCCACCATTTCCTAGTTCTGTGATCTTGGACAAGCGACTAAATCTCCCTGTGCCACAGTTTCTTCTTGCAGAAACTGGGAAAGATCACAGTACCTACCTCCTTAGAGTCATTGTGAAGGTCAGTGTGAGGTACCACATCTAAGGCACCCAGACATAAGGGTCAACAGCGTTAGCTATCACTGTGCAGTTTGGCGGACGAGCCGAATGCATGTGGACTCCTGGACTCACTGCACGCAGGCACGAAAGATGCTGCACTGGTTACATTCAGGCGTATACCAGAGCACTACAATTCTTTGAGACACTGTCTGGAAATCTGGAAATCATCTCCTTGCCCTTTAAGGCATTTTAACCCTCGCATTCCTCTGCTTTTGCAAGAATGTCAATCTTCTCAAGCTGTGCGTGAGAGACACGGCCTTCCCTCGAGGGAGACATGCAAATTCTCCATAAACAGCTATAATGCGGGGCTCTGCCCTGAGGAAGAAACAGGAGACACGCTAGACAGCACGGCCCTGGCTGCGGCCAAGAGGAAGGAAGACCCTTCCGTGGTGGAGCACTGGCTCCATGCCTATCTGCCCAGTGAGACTTCAGGCTCCTTGCAGACAAGGGCCATGGGTTGTTGGCCGTTGTGTGCCTAGTGGCCTTCACAGAGCTGAGCAAGGGACAGACACACAGACAGGTAGGGCTTGGCTGGTCAAGGCAGCAGCTGCCTTGGATGCTAAAGTCTGAGCCAAGCCCCTCAGGCCCAGCATGGACAGGGCAAGGCCCACAGTGGTGGGAGGTCAGTCGGCCAGCTGGGTTGAGAAGGCGACGAAGCCATGGGCAGATAGGAAGTAAAGTGAACGTCTCTGCCTCCTGTGGGCCTCCTGTAGCAGGGACAGTGCAGACCCTCTAGCTGGGGCAGAACAAGGCTGGTGCTTCCTTCGAGTCCTTGAACCTCTATAGCTCAAACCCAAGCAGAGTTTTTGGATTCTGTGTGGTGATTGCTGAGGAAGGTTTATGGATTTGACAGGGTGCATGCCACAGGGAGGCAGTTCTCACTCAGCACTTCCTGTCCCCAGCAGAGACTCACAGGGGACGGCCCCAGCAAAGGAGACCCCAGAGGCGCTTTGAGGATAGCAATCAGAGGCCGGGCTGGCTGGATGGAGCCCAGGCCTGCTGCCCACCAAGTCTCTGTAGGCTGTAGTCTGACCCCTCTCTCCACCCCTGGGCTATGCAGGCCAGACGACACAGACCACACCCCATGCGTCCTAGCAACACCCACCTCCCTGTGCCAACAATCCATCCAACAGAAAAGGACTGAGAAGGCGATGCTTAACCCCAAGGAGTGAGTTTTATAGGAGTGGCATTAACAGTTTCACAGCAGGCCATTGAGGAAATATATTCCTGCCCCTTCAAATGGACGGTCACTACAGAAATGTGTAGAGCAAGACTTTGTCAAGGAGGTGTTCCCAGGTCTCCTGGTATCTAAATAGCAGAGCTGGAATGGGAACCAAGAACCGATTCTTTCCCCAACCGCCCACTGAGCAGCAAGGTTGCAGCCAGCAGAAAGGTGCGTGGAAGCAAGTAGCCCCATGTGGTGTGGACAGCGCATGGCCACTCCACCGCCCCCTGCGACAGGCTGCCAGCTGGGCCACCTGCCTTCCACTGTATCTACTGTGTGAGCTTCTCCAGCTCTGCTTTGTTTTCTCTTCCTCAGCATCCGCCCCATGGCACCCCATGCCATGCAATGGTGGCTGATATTGCCACAGTATCATGAGGTTAACAGGTCCTCCCTCCAGCTGCCCTCGCGGTGGCAGCCTCACCTGCATTCCTGCCATTCACCAGCCAGGAATGACCGTCCAAGACTGTGGGGGAGGAGTCAACACCACAGCCCGGTTCAGAGGAGATGCCGAATTTAATGAACTCTATTTGAATTGCAGGGCTGTGATTCCGCTTACCTTTCACGTGAACTCACAGGCGGATTAAAGTGGAATAAAACCTACCATTTGAGGTACATTCTCAGCTGATTGGAAACATGCATTACCTCCCCATGACCGGGCCATGAGAAGGGAAGTTATTATCTTTCTTTAGAGTTTGTAAACGCTTTATGGCTGAGGCAGCTTTAATCCTGCTGAGGGTAAAAAGATCCGGGAATCAGTTGCTCCCATTTACCTTTGTTTCCAATCACACACTCCAGTGGGAACGAAACATCCTAAGTGAGGGGATGTGGGGAGCCGGGTGATCCCTGACAGAAAAGTTTGATTATTTTCTTCTCCAGGCATGTGAATTGGAGTATTAGAGTGCCGTTTGGCAAGGGGGTTCATTTCACCAAAATGTGCACCCCAGCAAGGATATCACAACTCCTGGGCTGTTACAAGTTCCTCTGCCTTTTCTTTCCAGAGGAAATGCCCCCATTCCCCAACCGTGCCCACATCTTTAAGGAGTACTTGCAGAAAAGTGTCCAGCTCCAGGCATTTGGCCAGGAAGGAGTCTGAGAACAAGCAGATTTGAATCCAAATCAAATCAGTCCAGGAACGAGAAAACCTGCGGAGACTGGAGCTCGGGAGGAGGCTCTAGGCTCCCTTTCCACCTCTGCTGCTTCTCCGACCTTCCCTGTGTGTTACGTGGCAACACAGCTCACATGCAGCAGGTCCCGAGCAAGGCCAGCAGGAGGGCTCAGGCTCTGAGCCAAGCACTCTAACTGCTGCAAGGAGGCCCCGCTGCGATTTCTGCCTCACTTTCCTTTAAGGATGTGGAGGCAGGGAATAGAGATGGTAGTCTTCAGAATAAGGCAGAGGCAAGGGCTTTTGGAGTGAGAGCTCAGCCAGGCAGCCAGACACGAGGCTTCCATAATTGCTTCTCTGAGGGCTCCGGGGCTGTCATGATGTCATTTGCTCAGAGAGCCTGCTACAGATGGGCTGGGAACATGGACCCTATTAAGTCACCTTGTTTAGAGGGAGGCCCATCATTCAGGATCCAGTCAGAAACACAAAAACCAGTCTAAGTATGCAAGCAATGTAATTCAGGGAATTGAGTATGGAATCACTGAGAAGCCAAATAGGGGATGCAATTCAGAGATTAACAGAATTGCTCCCACTGCTGGCTCCAGGCTGGAGGGCAACGGAGAGGGAGTGTTACTGGAGTCACAGTGGGGAATGTCCAGCCCAGGGCTAGAATACCGTGGAGGTCCCTACGGAAGCTGGGACCTAGCAGGAGGGGAGCCACAGAGGAGAGGCAGCTGCTGCCAGCAGCTGATGAGGTGACTCCACCTGAGAGGCTGACAGAGGAAGAATACCCTGGCTTCTCTCTTTCTCCGGCGCCCCAAACCCCATCGGCTAAACCCAGCCAGAGGCAAGCTGACCAGCAAGCCCGAGAATGCAGGCTGCAGGGGCCGACTTCCCCACAGTACAGAGCAGAGGCTGAAAGAGAGAGCATGGAGCTGAGGACAAACAGCCACATGGCCAGCACAGAGAGCATGCCATGTCAATGCCCCTCAGCGTCGCCTGGGGCCCTGGAGTGGCCACCAAGTAGGGAGAGTGGGGAAGGGAGGTCACACTGCAGAGGACTTTACCACACAGGGACCCTTGAGGGGCAAACACAGATCCCTACCATCACTGTCACCCCAACCTATGTGACCTTCAGCATCTGTAAGGAGGGAGGGAGAAGGGCAAGTGCCACACAGTGAGGCAGAGAGAAGAGCCAGGCACAGCCTGGCTGGACCCACACACCCCTCAGCAGATGCCATGCTTTGAACACCAGCCGCCAAGATAGGCAGGGGGCAGGGCAGAGACACCTGTCCTCGGGAAGCCAACAGGCCCGAATCTCCGCTGCCTTCCACTTACAGACTCTGGAAACTTCCTTCCTCTCCCAAGCCACTTCTTCCTCACCTATTTGATGAGAATACTGTTAGTACCTCCCTCACTTCAGTGAAGATGAAAAACACAATGTAAGTGTGCCAGGTGCAGGGTCGGGTCCATTTCACATGCCAGCTGGCCGGAGCCTCCCACCGGCAGAGCCCAGCCTGCAGCAGAAACCGTCTTGGACACGTCTGTAGACGAGCAGCCACCTACACACAGTAGGTCCTCAGTCAGGGGTCTCTGGGCAGGAGACAGAGAGTTGAGAGGAAGAATTCCGGTGGGGTGAAAGCAGACCCCTAGGGAGCAAAGCTCTGGGAGGAACCTCAGGCAAACCGCAGTACAGCTGGTGACAAAAAGGAGAAAATGTGCTTTAAATAAGTAAGTGCTCTGAGTGAGAAGAGGAGAGTCAGTGGTCTTGCTCAGTGAATGGAGCCACAGCATCCAGGGGACCCTGAGCCCGGAAGCCCATGGTAAATTCCAGCAGGGCCCCACACCCCGTTCCTCTGCTACCTGCCAACAGGGTTTCCTGTTTCCAGATGGGCCTCGCCTCCTCGGTGCGACACGACCACCCAGCCCTTCGCCACTCAGAAACACACGCACAAGGTCCAGAGCTCCCAAACTTGGAGAGCTGCCCCGGGAGTATTAGAAGTAGGCAGGCTGGAAGCTTGATGCTGGAGGCTTCCAGATCTAGCGCTGGGCCTCATTGCTGGGGAACACACGGTCGTCCCCTGTGGACACTCTTGGAGGCCAAGCCGGGAAGCTAATCCTCAGGGGTCTCTGTCTTTCAGTTTTACGTTCCTCTTCCCCTGGGCCTACAGGGTCTGTGGCTGCTGTGCAGAATTCAAGTCGAAACATCAGAAAGCCTCATGTGATCTGACTTCTTCTTCCCCTCCCCATTTCCCAACACACACACACACCCACACACATACACATACATACATACTTGCATACACACACACACACATACAGACATACACACGCACCCCTGCCTCTGGGTTCTGTCAAGCACC